CGATGGGAAAGTCTGCTGTTAGGGACCTCTCTACTCAGGAGCAACAGTGTCTCTCTGGAGACTAAGGTGTGCCTGATACAAGCCATGGTATTTGCAATCGCTTGTTATGCATCAGAGACTGGAAGGGCTAACTGCAATGGGGGAAAAAGTCAACTTTTAAGCTAACACCATACAGTGACTTTTTTTCTTTTTCATACAGTGACTTTTTAGCACTAGGAAAACAGTGGTGTTTTCTTTCTAGGTCTGGCAATCCTGTGGTCAACTGGGATATTTTTATTTATATCTAACATAAAGTAGAATTTAGTTCTCTAGTATAATTCCCCTGACTTTTACAATAATGACATAATGACTCTCAGAAGAACCCATTAAGTACCACCAGTGATCAACAAGTGAGGAAATTGGCTCTATTGAAAAGAAACATTAAAAAAAAAAAAATCACTGCATGGAGTAAGTCAACCCAGATTTATGGTAAGCCTTCACCCAAGGTTTTAGTTATTCATAAGGAGACCATTCATCTTTCTCTCATTGACCATCTAGTAGATTAGCAGTGCAACATTAGCCATTTTAAGCTCCTTTATTGTAGACTGCAACTTGGAAACCACTTCATAGTAACAACAGACATTCTAAGGTTCATCTTGGAAAGGGTTGAAACCAGGCTGCTCCTTGGAGGCAAGGATTTTGAAGCTTTGTCTGACATACTTTGGGCATGTTGCAAGAAAGGACCCGTCCTTGGAAGAGGACATCATGCTTGAAAGAGTGGAGGGACAGTATGTGAGAGAAAGACCATGTATGTGATGGACTGACTTCATGACTGGCGTAATGTAGGTAGATACGTCAGAGACAATGACGTTGGCTCATGATAGAACAGAGTTCAGAGTTATTGTACATAGGGTCCAACTCGATGGCACCTATCCACAACATAGTAGGTCATGTGTGCCTAAATCGAACTGAGGATTCTCAATGGCTAATCCTCTGAACCACAAAACATTACATGTTCTAAATGTCATTTACGTATTGTAGGACTCATCTATGTAAGCAACTGCTTACTCTTTATAATGAATTCAACAAAAAGAAAAGCTCAGCTAAAGCTCACTGGCTTTCAATTTAGTGACTGGTTTCTGAGGCTGCGGATCACGTGGTAGAAAATGTTCCATCTTTCTCCCTAGTAGTCCCTAATGGATTTGAAATATTAGAGAGAAGGCTTTTGGGTTAGTCGTGTAATTCACTAGGGACTAGGCCGCCAGAGCTCTTCCTAAAAAGAAGTTTACATAGATGTTTATGCTCGTTTGTTTTTAATATTTGTTAGACCTTTCGGTTTTTTAAGTTTTACTTTTTATTTAATAGAGAACAATTTGTGCCCTCCTTTCCTGGATAAATCATACTAACTGAAGAATGCTTGGGTTTATTTATCCGAAAACAAAATTTTACTGAGATTTCAGAGTGGTTCTGGTATTACAAGTTGTCTACTCGCTAGAGGGTGGACTCTTAACACAGCCCCACCACCTCCGTTCTCCTCTCAGGACTGCACAGCTGCAACGGGTGAGCTCCACTTGGAGGCTAACAGAATCAAATGCCAGACAAAAGAACACTCTATGAAAAGAGAAATTATTGTTGTATAACATTGAGTATTAACTACCTCACAGCTGACCTCCCAGCGAGTTTTCAGAATCAGTTCAATCGCACATGGCAAGAGGTTACCCATCCTTTTACCAAAGAGAAGCTAAAGGCTTCTGAACAACTTCCTTTGGGTTGGCAGCACAACTTTGTACTACTAAGAAGAGCTCCCTTAACAAGAGGGAAGGAAGAAAGGGGAAACTCGAATCTTAGCCCTACTTGAGGCACATTCAAAAATTCTTAACAGTACACTTCCACACAAGCCGCACCCCTCACCTCACGCACTCGCCCCCAGCGCTTCCTGCAACCAGCTTCACACACCCCCTTCGGCGCCAGAAAAAAAAATGAAGAGCGGGCTAGAACTACACTTCCCAAAATGCCTAGCGGTAGGGTGGGGTCATCTTTTAATTGGTTCACTGCCCCAGAGATTTGTTTATCAACTTCAGTCTCAGATTTGCTCTCCTCTACCTCAGCTTGATTGGTTGGACAGCAAAAGCATGGGAAGGCAGTTTAGTCGTCACTGGCAGCGGTTGAATGGAGACTCTCTATCCTACTGCCTCACGGTACTTGAAGTCTATTCTTGAAGTCTGAGGCCCTCTCTACCTCGGCTGATTCAGAGCAAGCGGACCACATTTCCCAGAAGGCACCAAGGCGCCTGTGCGGCGTGGGGGCGGGGCCTCCCGTCTAGTACAGTCATTCCAAGCTGCTTTGGTGGGACTGTGATGGCCGGAGAAATGACGATCTTAGGTTAGTGATTCCAGGGTCCCTGTTAGCTATGGTGGACACTGATGTGGTCCCAAGCCACCAAAGTGGGCGGGAGTGGTTGCTATGCATCCTAAACCCAGCTGGTTAATGAAGGAAAGATTCCAGTAAGATTATCTAGAGGCGATGTGAAGTTGTTTAAAGAGAGCGCACCTCTAAAAAGACCGGATCCCATCTGTTAAGGCCCAGATAGGATCGGCAGACCAGCTGCGTACATCCCGGTAACATCAGGTCTCGAAAGGCAGGTTTCTTCGTAGACGTCGACTTTGAGTTGCTGGTTGAATTGGGGCCTTAGGAGGCCTCACCGACATGCAATTCCAAGACCCCTTTGGAGAGAAGAGGGGTGGGCAAGCAGCATCAGCACTTTTTGATGCAGAGTTTGGAATGCTTGGATAGAAGAGATCTAGGTCCCTTTAGTGTATAATGCTCTTTTCCCCAGAACTAAGTTGGGAAATAATCTTTGTAGTTAAGGAGAGGATGAAATGCTTCTGAAATTTTGCCCGTTGGAGGAATAAGAGAGTGGGACTGACACCTGGTTTCTTAGGGATTTGTGTTGTTGAGGATGAGAAACAGACTCAGACAAATTGTTGATGTTTTGGTTCTGTGTTATGATAAAGCACACTTAGTCCACTCCTAGTGAAATAAGACATTAATAGGAGCATTAAAGTGGCATCTTCTCATCCGTACTTTGTTTAACAATCTGCATGGTGTTCATAGCAAGTCGGTTTTTTTCACCAGCAAACATTAAGCTGACAGTTCAAACCCTCCCTTTTCTTGCCCTGAAGAAAAGGCTAGACAATATGCTTCTGTTAAAATTACAAGCAAAAGAATCCCAAGAAGCACTGTAGCACGTGAGATCACCCTGAGTACGATACCTTGACCACTGAAAAGAGCGTCAACTATTTGTTAGAGACAGTTTCTGAGTAAGGAATACATTAGTGAGCAAAACCTGCCCACAAGGAGCTTGCATTCATGTTGTCATCAGAATTAATGTTTCTCTTGTCCTAAATATTATCTCTGCAAAAAGTGTGTACTTAATACATATTTAAGTTCGAGACATATTTCAAAGATATTTTATGCCTGTATCCATTGTATCTTCTGGAAGGAAGAGGATAAAGTTCAACCTTAAACTAACAAAGTTTTGTTATAACTCAAATCTCATTGGTTTCAATAAGGAACTCACTGATAGCTGTCTGGCCATTAGGTTTCTGAGGCTGTGAGTCACACTAAAATAGACTGCCTATCTTTGTCTAGTGGAGCAGCTGGTGGCTTTGAACCACTAGAGTGACACCACATTTGGGTTAGCAACAGAACTCCCTATGGACTAAAATACCAGAGCCTGCTGTTTGCTATGGGTATTTTAATAATGGACTTAAAAAATAATGGACTTTTTAAAATCTTTTTCAATTGTGGCAAAAAAATATGTTTTGTTAATAGAAGCATTTACCAGTCATTATTTTTAAATGAAATTCGGTGATCTTGATCATGCAGCCTTTACCACTATTTTTTCCCAAATCCTTCCATCTCTATTTAAGAGTCTACACAATGACTTTTTCCACATTCCTTCTCATCCCCAATAAAGAAAATTTGGTCACTGTATATTTGATAGGCCATGCAAATAAAATCCTACCATGTTTAGTCCGATGGCTAAGGTTGTAAAAATTATTTTGTTGTTGTTGAAAATGTACAGCAAAATATACACCATTTCACCAGTTTCTGCATGTACAATTGAGTGACACTGATTGTATTCTTGAAGTTGTGAAACCATTCTTTTCCCAACTTGTTCCTTCCCCATCAACATATGCTATGTCCCTAAAATTTATTTTTCTCACCTTTTGAATTGTTATAATCGTCTTGAGTCCATATAAATAGTTGTTAAACAGAACACTTCTCAAGTCAGACATCCTTTTACTTAAGAAAAATAGTTTAATTAAGCTAAACTATTGACTGGTCCTTGGAGAACATGCTCAGAAGGGTGGAGGGACAGTGCAAGGAGAAAGACTGATGAGATGGATTGATACAGTGACTGGAGCAATAGGGGTTGGTATGTCAGAATTAGTGAGACTCGCTCAGGAGAGGGAAGGTTTCAGAGCTGCTGTACATAGGGTCACTGTGAGTTGAAGGCGACTCAACGGCACATAACAACGACAGTATTTAGTATAAAGAAGAAAATCTAGGGATATTTTTCATTTAAGGTGAACAGATGATGTCAAATGATCATTGAGGGATTTATTCAATCTCTAGGACTCCAGAATGTCTGGATTTCATGACAATTTAAACTTCTATTCTGGTCAGGATTTCTCCAATAGAATCTTTAATTAAAAGGTTCAGTGATGGTATCCACACACCACCCTGTTCTTTTTTTTAAATAATTTTTTTAAATTTAATTATGATGTTAACAAAAATTTACAGAAATGTGAGATTTTCATTCATTCGTTGTTGCATTTTATCCCTCTTCCTCTCTTCCCCCTCCCCAAGTTGACTTTTATTTTATACTAGTTAATTTACAAAATTCCAATACATTGTTTTTGAGAACAGATTCTTTCCATTTTCCTCACCTCCCCACCCACCAAATTGTACAACCCCATGATTAATTCCCCCTCCCCCTGCATGTTCTCATCCTCTGCTTCTACCCTCCCCCACCCCCTTGGATCCTTATACTCACTCTTCTGATGTTCATGAAGGAAATTACTGACACTTCTGTAACAAAGATAACTAAAGTTATTTATGTTACCTACCATGGAATCTAAACCAACTCATAGTTGACCCTCCTATGGGTTTTCAGAGTTAGTTAATTTTAGATTTAGTTAATAACAGGAAATTACCCATCTTTCTCCTATTGACCAGCTGGCAGATTTGAACCACATGCCTTTGGTCTGGAACTTCAGTTCCTTACCTCAGAGCCATCAGAAACTGATCTAGAAATTCCTTGACACAATTACTAGATTATATTCCTTGTTGACGCATATGTGAACTACATGTACAGCCACACAATTTTCTGTTATTTTAGTTGTGTTATAGCCAGTTTGCATTATTGAAAACTTAATCTGTGAGAGAAAAGTAGTCAGTAGTCCTACCACTTGCACTCACTTATTGTTGGCGAGTCAAAACTGATCCATATGTGGCCTGTGAATCACACAGGAGGCGATTGCTCATCTGTCTGCCTCAGAACGGCTGGTGGATTCGAACAGCCAACCTTTGTGTTGATAGCACATCTCCTTACCCACTGAACCACCAGGGCTCCTTATAAAAGAATGTATTTTCAGCTTGTATCCTTAGAGTGATATTAAAAGGACTTTGCTATAATAATAGTTGGATAAAATGTATCTTTTTACTTGCCTGTGTTTCAGGATCAGCTGTTTTGACTCTCCTATTGGCTGGCTATTTGGCACAACAGTATTTGCCCTTGCCTACTCCTAAAGTGATTGGCATTGACCTTGGTACAACATACTGTTCTGTTGGGGTGTTTTTTCCTGGCACAGGAAAAGTGAAGGTCATTCCAGATGAAAATGGGCATATCAGCATACCCAGTATGGTTTCCTTTACTGAAAATGGTGTGTACGTGGGGTATGAAAGCTTAGAGCTGGCAGATTCAATTCCTCAGAACACAATATATGATGCCAAACGATTCATAGGCAAGATTTTTACCCCAGAAGAGCTGGAAGCTGAAATTGTCAGATACCCATTTAAGGTAAGTTATTAATCTAAAATTGATTATAATTTTCATTCAGCATACCGTTTTGGAAAATGCTTCAGATTCAAGTTACAGGACATTTTGCCTCATACCCACCTTAACTGTTTGACTAAAGACAGACTTGCTTTCATAAAGATTATAGCTAAGAAACTTCTATGGATCTCAGATCTCTGTGACACATGGGGTGGGGTCACCATGACTCCAAGTTGACTTGACAGCATTGAGTTTTGTTTTGTGTTGTTGTGTTTTGTTTTGGTTTTTTTTTAATTTGTTTTCTAGTTATTATTTAATCATTGCTTAATAATATAGGTGAGAAAATGGTATCTTGTGTTAATTTTTATTCCTGTAATTTGAAGTTGTCTTTTAATTTTCTTTAATCATCATTATTTGCCCTTTTCCCCATTTTTCTTTTGGAGTACTTATCTCTTGAAGAAAGATAATAATGCAGTGGTTAAATAGTTAAATACTTGGTTCGTAACTGCAGTTTGTGTTGGTAGGTACTGTAGAGTCAGAACTGACTTACAGCTAGCCCTCACTCGGAATTTCACAGGCTGTAAATTACATGGGAAAGGATTTTTCATCATTCTCCAATTGAGTAGCTTATTTTGGTTTCCTTTTCTGGGCTTTTTCCCCCCTAAAGCTTTTATATGTGTATTTATTGATTTTAATTCTTTTTCCTTTTAAAATATATAAATCTAAATAATTAGATTCCAAATGCGTAGTTATAATAAATGGTGATGTTATTAAATAACTTACCTGTTAAAATTTTCAACATTTTATATCTATTTTTCAGAGAATGAAAAAAAAAAAACCCACTGCATTTCTTAATTTATTCCTTTGTTCCTTTTTAACTTACTAGGTTTCATTATTGATTTATAATCTTTCTTATTGGATGCTAAAATAATCTAAAACTATATATTTATTTTGGCTACCTCTTAAATATGCATGTGCACAATGCACACTTTGACATTTTTCATTTTTCCCCCCACAGGTTTTAAACAAAAATGGAATGGTAGAGTTTTCTGTGACAAGTAATGAAACCATCAGTGTCTCCCCAGAACATGTTGGCTCTCAGCTGTTATTGAAGTTAAAGAAAATGGCAGAAGAATATCTAGGAATGCCAGTTGCCAATGCTGTCATTTCTGTGCCAGCAGAATTTGACCTAAGGCAGCGAAATTCAACAGTTGAAGCTGCTAACCTTGCAGGTAATAACATTGCCCTTGCTTGTGATGCATTTTTCTCAGACTTTGATTTGGTTGAAAATCTTCTATAATGAAGTACATTGAAAGTTACATAACTATAGGTCCATAAGTAAACTGAATAGTAGGTAAATTACATAATTGTGACACAAGCTTTCAAAATGGTAATTTTGAAAATGTTGTAGCGCAATAGGAATTGTGTATATTATGACAATAACCAGGGAGCTCTCTGAAGGTTTAGTAGGTAGGCAGTTATGCCGCCAACTCAGAGGCTAGCAGTTCGAATCCACCAGCTGCCCCATCGAAGAAAGATCGGAATTCTCCTCTCAGATGATTGACAGTCTTTGAAAACCAGCTGTAGGGTTAACTATGAATTGGTTCTGACTTAATGGGAATGAGTTTTGCATTTTGAATCAGATATTATGTAGGCAAAGGCTAAAAGAGAACATGGGCATGTGTTAACAATAAGGGATTTCTTAGGTCCTTTTGGCTACTTTAAAGGTGAATATGATAGTTAAAAATATTTGAAGTGGGGAAGAATTCATTTAATAGATATGTAAATATGTACTGTTGTAAATCAGGAAATAAAGATAGAATTCAAGTATATAATTTTTGACATTTTGTCTGGACAGTACTTTGTCATGGGCACTGTGCTGTCAGCATGTTTAGCAGCATTCCTGGCTCCTCATAGCACCTTCCCTCCAGATAGTGATGATTTAAAGTGTTTCCCCACATTACATCATGTCCTGTAGGGCCAAAAGCTAGTTAAGAAGCAGTGGTGCCTGCCAGAAAGTAACATACTATGAGAAGAAAAACAGCAGAGTCAGAGCTGCTCGTGGTAATTAGAGGGTAGGAAGTTTACAGGTTTTAAATAGTGTCACCAGGTAGGATTCTTTGAGAGAATGACATGTTAAGCAGATTTGAAGAAAGTAACTAAATGGGGATATGCAAAAGCAGTACAACAGCCATAAAATGAGACTACTATACTGGTAGTGGTGAGAATAGAAGGGAGATCATTATGGCTGGAGCAGAGTGAATAGTGAAATCAGAGGGCTAAACATCTAGTCTTTGGGCCTTTGGATAAATTCCTCACAGTCTGAATAGTGCTAAGACTCCTGATAGATAATGCCGTCATGCTTTTCAGTAAGAAGAAGGAGCACTGAATAAGTCACTTTATGTAAGAATTTGCTACTTGGCGGGGCGGTGGGGGAGGCATGTTTGTCATTCACTGTCTGGTTTTCATTCTATCTAGTAAGGACTCTTGTAATTCTACTTTGTAAAGTATTATGAAGCATCACTCATTATATATTTTAATATCAATATCAAGAAACTGGTTCCTTAGGAATCTCATTTGCTTTTAGTTGATAATTTTCCAACGAATGCTTTCAGAAATGCATTTGGGGAAATCAACTGCCAAAGCTGACCTATGCTTACACATTTACCATTTATCCTTTCTTCAAAATCAGATTTACTGTTTCACATTTGCCATTAAGTATTTGTATTTTGAGTATTTTTTAAAGTATCATTGTAGCTACTGGAGCATCTCACTTAGACTTTTTTTTATATATATAATCATTTCTGTGCATTCTTCCATTTCTTTGTTTTATTGAAAAAGTCATTTTTAAAAGCATGGTAAGCTTTCCCACTTCCACAGTTACTAATTTTAGTACAGAAAGATTACAGTACAGAGTGATTAAATTTTATTGCTCATGTAGTTCCAAATAGAATATGAAAATTAGAAGAGGCTGAAAGTTTGTTGGTTTTTTTAAAAATCAATTAATAGAGTGTCTTACTCACATGACTCTTGGCCTTTATTACTTTCTATTCCAACCTTATTTTAGAATAATTTTAATGACACCTTTTAGAAGAACCTACATTTATCCTTCTCTTTTTGTTGTTTTTATTGGATTTGTGATTCTTGCATACAATAGAAGATACTGATAGACTGTTAGGTAGAGTGAAAAGGAGTTTCATCTAGTGCCCTCTCATGAATTGTTCTTCCTTCCAATGACTCTCATAGGACTGAAGATCTTAAGAGTAATAAATGAGCCCACAGCAGCTGCTATGGCCTATGGTCTACATAAGGCTGAAGTCTTTCACGTCTTGGTAATAGATTTGGGTGGAGGAACACTAGATGTATCATTATTAAATAAACAAGGAGGAATGTTTTTAACCCGAGCAATGTCTGGTAAGAAAATTTTAAAGAAATTCAAGTAGTGTTTTCTTTAATGTAAGTAATGTGTAACCCATTCATACACCACTTCCCCAAGAATTCTTTATTCCCTTTTGGTAATATACTATATATTCAAATATTTTATGTATGTACATACATATATACAAATGTATATATACTTAGAGTAAAAAGTTAAGTCTGAAAAAACAACTTGCCATTCAGTCAATTAAATATGTATATTCATACTGCTAGTCATAGCAGCTGAGCCAGTAGGACTGTTCATGGAGAGAAAAATCCTTTTAGAGTGAAAGATACTCATTTTATTTCATCTGATAATGTTTTACAAAATGAATGTTGTTATTGTTGTTGATTGCCTTTGAATCAAGCATGACTCACAGCGACCCTGTGAACATAAGGCCTGAAGCCCCTCTATAACTATCGATGCTTATAAAAATATCATAAGGTTTTTGGAG